TCTCCCTCTCCCACTCCCCCTGCTCGTGTTCGCTCTCTCGCTGTGTCTCTCTCCGTCAAATAAATAAAATCTTTTGAAAAAAATTACATATATTTAAAAATGTATATATATGAAAATGAGTGGCAAGAACCATCTGAAAATGTTACCAATGATTGTCTCAAGCGAGTAAGATAACGTTTTTTTCTTCTTTATATCTTTCCGCATCTTCGACTTCACTACAAAAGGCATGATTGCTTTTAGCATCAGAAAATAAACTGTTGTTTGTGCTGCTTTTCATGAATGTGAGTGGCCTAGAAAAGTCACACCTTAAAACTCTTCCCATCCGGCACCTTCATTATTGGTTCACGCCTGGATTATTAGCTGGTGTCTCAGAACATTCTAGTGTTCAAGTAGGGGAGTGGGGTGGGGGAGGTAAGGGGGTGGGGGGGGAAGGCGGGGAGAGCCACACCAACTCCTAAGGCAAAAGGGGCAGGGCCACTGAGGCAAAGCAGAAGGGGGAGGGGTCAGTGAGCCTGTAGCCTGCATGTCCTAACCATAGAGACCTGAGTCCAACGGCAGTGCAAGGCTGGGCTGGAGAAGTTGCCGGAATGGAGGGCAGGGTGGCCTGGGGCTGGGAGGACAGGAATCCCGGGGCTGGAAGTAGAATTCTGAGGCTCGGTTCATGCATGCCACCTGGGTCACCTTGGACCCCGTCACTGAGAGTAACAGCCCTATCTTGCCGGCTGAGTGTGGATTACAAGGAGGTGAGGGGCGGCATATACAGTGCTCAGCCCAGAGCCTAACACACACCAGGCACTCCCTAAATGCAGCTATGACTATTAGGAATAAATGCACGCCCACCAGCATCCACTCTCTGGGTGAGCTCAGCATCTCAGTCATCCGGTGCCAGAAAAGGAATAAGCTACGCAATACACTCAGCCAGTGATCCCCTGTCCTGTCCCTTGTCGGGTCCTGCTGTCCGTGCGGCCAGAGACATTTTTTTCTACCCCCAGCGCGGTTTTTAGATGTGCTCTGTTCCCGTGCAGCAAGGCTCGTCGCTCATTAGCACGGGTGGGAACGGTGCGGATGATACCACCAAAGGCCATCAAAGTAGCCCAGATGATTGGGGAATGTTTGTTGTGCTCCCCACCAACTCTGCCTGGAGCAATGCCAGTACCCCCAGCCACAGTGGGAGCCAAGTGGGGCAAGGGAGGGTCTGGGGAAAGCAGCCGCAATTGGGAAAGACAAAGTCCTCTACCATAGGGGAGTGGGGCTCGAGATGAGTTCCTCCACCCTCCTGCATCTCCAAGCTTGCAGTGCCCAGCGGCTCACGCCCTGCTCTGACTTGCACACCTCATCCCAGGAAGGGCTTTCCAAGTAAGTCATTTACATGTTAGCGTGAATTTCAGTGCTTTCAGTGGCCTCTCGTCCCTTGAAATCCCACTATATACGAAGGTCTTTGGCCTTAACTGAGAAAATGAGGAGTTCTAATTTTGATGTTTTAACCATCCTGGGCCCAGCCACCCACATCCCCAAGGTCAGGACCTCCTCTTCTCTCTGAGTCCAGTAATGTGTGTATTTGCCTTTATTTCTCTCATTAAGGAGACTTGAATAAAAGCACGAAAGGCTTCTCTCTGTATCCTTAAGAGAAGGATTTAGAGAGTAAAAAAAAAAGTGTTACACTGGTTAAAAGGTAAAAAAGAGAACTCGGAAGTCATAAGGGAAAAGACAGACAGGTGTGACAAGACAAACCTCCTTTGCAGTGGAATACAGCAACGACCTGAGATTGCAAACCGGTGTCCCCCAGATCCACCCCAGCTCCAACATGCGTTGTTTCTTTTAGTGCTTACAATTTTTTGAATGAATTGCCCGCACTTTAAAATCTGTTTTGGGACACCTGGGTGGCTCAGTCGTTAAACGTCTGCCTTTGGCTCAGGTCATGATCCCAGGGTCCTGGGATCGAGTCCCGCGTCGGGCTCCTTGCTCAGGGGGGAGCCTGCTTCTCCCTCTGCCTGCCGCTCCCCCTGCTTGTGTTCCCTCTCTCTCTCTGACAAATAAACAAATGAAATCTTTAAAAAATAATAAAAAAATATCGGAAGCTTTTCCCTAAAAATCTATATTTCCAGCATCTTCTGAGGAATCAGAAGATCTGGCACCCTGGTTCCCACCAGGCAATGCTTGGCCGGAGCCCAGCAGAGGGGGGCGCACTTCCCGGGCCGCCGCAGCCTCGCTTAGGTGCACAGCAGACCTCGCCCCAGCAGGCCCCTGAGATGTGCCGTAAATGCAAGGAAAAGACAAAAGATGCTCTTGGAGAACAGGTCTGCAACACACCCAACAAAAAGTTAATATCCATTATATACAAATAAGAACCAGACAAAGAGTTCAAGAGGGGGAAATGGAGCAAAGTATAAACCGCTAATTCATAGAAAAAAGAATGCAAGTGGAAAATAAACCTGAAAGATACGCAATCCACTGGTGGTTAGGACAATGCAAAGGAAAACGAGAAGATACTTTTTTCAAGAGCCATCAAGTTGGCAAAAAATCAAACCACTTCCTAGCATCACCGTTGGTGAGGATGTGGGGGAAGAATGTGGGTGCGGTGTTGGTGTGCATGTAAAGGGTGCAACATTTTTGGAGGGCGATTTGCAGTTCCAGTTATTATTTTAAATACATACACCTTTAAAGAAATATAGGGAAACCTTTTATGGAAATAGAGCACGCATATAGAAAAAGCCACAGATCATAAGTGTGTGGCTCAGACACGGAACATGTCCATGTAATATTTTGCCTAGATCAAGGAAGAGAGAATTATCAGTGCCCAGAAGCCCCGTGCTCTCTCCTACTCAGTAAACTCCCCAGGTAGCCACTATCCTGACCGCTAGCAGGATCTTCCTGTTGTTGAACATTCCATGAATGGAATTATATAGTATATATTCTTTTGTGTCTGGCTCCTTTCACCAAGTATTATATTTTTAAGCTTCATCTATATTGCCCCGTGAAGCAGAACATTCATTTTGGTTGCTGTATGAATTCCATGGCACGACCAGACCATGCTTGATTGTTCTGTTGTAGTGCCGAAGAACATTTGGGTGGTTTCCAGTTTGGAGCTATTGTAAATAGTACTGTTATGAACATTCTTGTATGTCACTTTGGATGCACCTAGAAACACATTGCTGTCTGGTATCTCCCTCTTGACAACACTTTCCATCTGGAATCTATCTTACAGAAACCCCAGAGAGAATAAGCTTGAATGTCCAAGGGTATTTATTGTAACACTAAAAAATGGTGGGGTCAAGGGGCGCCTGGGTGGCTCAGTCGTGAAGCGTCCAACTCTTGGTTTCGGCTCAGGTCATGATCTCAGGGTCGTGGGATCGAGCTCTGAGTCAGGCTCCACGCTCAATGAAGAGTCTGCTTGAGAATCTCTCCCTCGCCCTCTGCCCCTCCCCCACTCTCTCCCTCTCCTTCTCTCCCTCTCTCTCTCTCTAAAATAAATGAATAGGGGCACCTGGGTGGCTCAGTCGGTTAAGCATCTGCCTTCCGCTCAGGTCATGATCCTGGGGTCCTGGGATCGAGTCCTGCTTCGGGCTCCCTGCTCCGCGGGAAGCCTGCTCTCCCTCTTCCACTCTCCCTGCTTGTGCTCTCTCTCTTTCTCTCTCTCAAAATAAATAAATAAAATCTTTAAAAAAAATAAATGAATAAATAAAATCTTTTAAAAAATAGTGGGGACAACCTCTGTGTTTACTAATAATGATATGGTTAAAAAAATATTATCTAGGGGCACCTGGGTGGCTCAGTTGGTTAACTGTCTAACTCTCGATCTCAGCTCAGGTCTTGATCTTGGGGTTGTGAGTTCAAGGCCTGCATTGCGCTCCACACTGGGTGTGGAGCCTACTTAAATATATATATATGTATATATATGTATGTATATATAATCGAATGCTTAATCCTGACTTGGAATAGTATGCAGCCGGTAAAAAAGGAGAATGAGATACGTGGATTCTGATATGTAAGTTTGCCCACATACAGTCAAGTGGAAAAAAAAAGCATCCTGCAAAAATATAGATAAATAGATATAAAAATATATAGAGAGAGATATTGTGTGATACCACTTTTTAAACAAACAAAAGGTAAAACAGAGCTTTGTATGTGGAGATTTGTGGGCATTAAATATCTAAAAAGACTTTTCATATATGAGCTAGGGAAGGGAGTACAATGGGGTGGGGAGGATGAGATTTGACATATACTCTACATATCTCAAATGTACCTACTTTTCTCCATCTTCATTGCCACTGTCCTATACTAAGCCACCATGACCTTTGGTATTGAAAACACAACGGTCCTTTTTTTTCCCCTGAAGATTTATTTATTTTTTTGAAGATTTTTATTTATTTGACAGAGAGAGAGACAGTGAGAGAGCAAACACAAGCAGGGGGAGAGGGAGAGGGAGAAGCAGGCTTCCCGCCAAAAGGGGAGCCCGACTCAGGGCTCGATCCCAGGACCCCGAGATCATGACCTGAGCCGAAGGCAGACGCTTAACCGACTGAGCCACCCAGGCGCCCCACACACAACGGTCCTCTTACCAGTTCACCTGTCAAGTCATCTCTGCCACCGTGAGGAAGGTGGGGACTCAGGAGACCACCCGTGGAAGTGTTGGCCTCAAGAGTACGCTACTGTGGCAGCAATCCAGGCGTCAGTAGGCCACGGTAAGACTGTGCATGGCACTGCCCACGATATTGCCTATCAAGTGAAAAAAGTGTCTTGCGAAAAGGTAGGCAGAGTATAGTCTGATTTTTTAAAATAATTTTTTTTAGAGAGGGAGAGAGCGGGGAGGAGCAGAGGGAGAGGGAGGAGAGAATCTTAAGTGGGCTCCACGCCCAGCACGGCATCTGACATGGGGCTCGATCTCACGACCCTGAGATCATGACCTGAGCTGACATCAAGAGTCGGACACCTAACCGACTGAACCACCCAGGCGCCCCTTAAAATAAAAATTTTAAAGTTAAACCAATGCTTGACAAGTGAACATATATAGGTGCATTAAAATCTTTGGAAACCATGGCTAGCACACTCTCTCTCGTTATCCACAAAGCAGGTTACAGGCAGGTGGTCCCCTAAGAAGAGCTCCACCAAGGAGTCCTAGTGACCAGCCATGCGTCCACGCCGGCGGGGCTTGAACCGCAGCTGATCTGGGTCCTGGCAGAACACGAAAAGATGGAGGTCTGTGGAGAATGGCTCTGGTGGCCGTCTTCCATTCGCCTCCCGTCCCACAGCCTGGGGGGCTTAAACAACCGAAATGTGATACCTCCCAGTTCCAGAGCTAGATGCCCCAGGTCAAGGGGCCAGCCAGGTTGGTTCCTTCCAAGCGCTGTGAGGGGGCATCTGTTCCAGGCCTCCCTCCTTGGTTTGTAGATGGCCGTCTTCCTCCCGTGGTATGTTCATGTCCTCTTCCCTCTGTGTGTGGTGGTGGTGTCCTAATCTCCTCTTCTTACAAGGACACCGGTCAGATCAGATGAGGGCCCACCCATAAGATTGTTCAATGTAATCTGCTCTTTACAGGCTCTGCGTCCAAATATAGTCACATTCTGAGGGACTGGAGGTTAGGGCCCCAACATACAAATTGCGGAAGGGGGGGTACCTAATTCAGCCAGAACTCCTCCTTTTCTCCCCTGGGAGGCTTGCAGGAGAAATTCCTGGGTTCTGATGAGGTATGAGACCTTCCTACGCCCTGCCACAGGACAGGGCCACGGACCGCAAAAACCGCCTCGCTGTGTACTGCCAGCCTGGAATGAGACTGTGCAGGCCCATTTATTTCAGTGGCATCCTTTCTGGTGTGGGACGACACCCCAGGGAGCCGGCACTTTCGGCTGATCCTCCTTTCACTGTTTTTATAAGTAAGAAGTGTCCAAATCTAAAACTGGTTCACTACATGTTTACCAGCCAAATTAGCCCAGCCTTGGCCTTGGCTTTCCTGGAAAGTCTTCACGTGTGCTTGACAAAAGACACTGGAATGTGTTGAGAAAACAGAAACACAAATCTTGCTAACAGAGGTGGGAGAAAGGGGACATGAGGGATGGCTCCCAATTCTGTGCTCCTCTCCTCCCCCGCATCCAGCACCCAGCCTTTAGGTCCCCTGAATTTTAACTCGTTTGATGTTTACAAAATAGGGGCGCCCGGCTGGCTCAAGTCAGAGGAGCACGTGAAGCTTGATCTCAGGGTTGTGTGTTTGAGCTCCACATTGGGTATAGAGATTCCTAAAAAATAAATAAACTTGGGGCGCCTGGGTGGCTCAGTCATTAAGCGTCTGCCTTCGGCTCAGGTCAGGATCCCAGGGTCCTGGGATCGAGTCCCCCATCGGGCTCCCTGCTGGGCAGGAAGCCTGCTTCTCCCTCTCCTACTCCCCCTGCTTGTGTTCCCTCTCTCACCGTCTTTCTCTGTCAAATAAATAAAATCTTTAAAAATAAATAAATAAAAAACATTAAGACAAAATAAATGAATTAACAGAAGATAAAACACAATTCTATGTGTCTACCAGTGGGCATTTAAATATTTAGAAAACCGGGCGCCTGGGTGGCTCAGTCGGTTGAGCGACTGCCTTCGGCTCAGGTCATGATCCCGGGGTCCTGGGATCGAGTCCCACATCGGGCTCCC